GCGCCCCCACACCGCCCCTTTTCGTTCTACCACCCCCCTGAAAAATGAAATTGCCCCCTGGGAGGCATTATCGCCCAGGTTAAGAACCACTGGCATAGTGGACATAGCTGTGTGTTTTGTGTGTGTGTGTCAGAAGAAATCCAATAGTACTGTACTTTTAGACTGGAAGGATCAGCCAATAAAGTGATGACATTGTCCAGATAACATCTGAATGTGTTCATTTTCCTCCCATCCTTCTGCGTCCTTCAAAAGACAGAGAGAAATATGAGGAGTCTGGAGATCTGGGTTAAAATCCTCACTTGGCTATGGAAACTCACAGCGGCTGGGGCTGGCACTGGTAAAACTACTCTTTAAAAATTGCACATACCTTGGAAACCCTATTAGGCTTGTCACAGCTGGATGCAGCTTGCCGGTACATAAGATCCTCAGAGAGCACCTCAAAGTCCCAATTCCACCTCACCCCACTTTCAGATCAACCTATAAGCCATAAGATTCAGCCATTTCTCAAAAAGCAGCCATTTCTCAAAAAAAAAAAAGAAAGAAAAGAAAAAGAAAAAGTCTCTAGAGCTTTGTTGTACATTTGGCAACACCTCTACAGCTCTCTAGATCCAGCTGTTTGTTAATAATTAATAACACATTTGTGAGAAGTTGCTATTTTTAAGATTAATCACAGGGGGTTTTCTTTTTGAAAAACAGCTTGATATTTGTACACTTTAGGTAATGTTCAATTTCCGCAGCTTTACCACTGTTTGTTATTAAAAAGAGCAAAATTAACGGAACTGTATGGTTGTTACTGTGCAAACACCACCCACACTGTCATATACACAAAGCACACACACACACCACTGAAAAGGGAAATGAACATCATTTTCAATCCTCCTTTCCTTCAAAACAACAACAGAATTAACTACTCGGTTTCAATGTGTCTTGGCATCCTGATTCAGGTAACCTGATTCAAGCCCAGCTGAGGGACAAAAATGATTACCTTTTTCCTTGCTTACTCCTGTTTTTGGCATAGGATTAAATAAAGGTGAGCTTCACCGGGGCTGGCCTGACACATTTCACTGCCTGAGGCAAAGGACAAGATGATACCCCCCTCTGCCACCTGAAATGGTAGAGTGGCAATTAAATCTTATTTCTACATGAGCAATGGGAAATGGTCCTCAATTACACTGGAAATCGGCTAAATCAAAGGACCTAGGGCAGCTTGTGTGACATCTACCACTGTGTGCCCTGAACAACCCCCTTTTTTTCATTTCCTTTTCTTTTTTGTCATGTTGAAATTCTTCTCAGACAATACAGGTCTGTGAGAAATTTAATCAGGACTGGTCTACCATAATTAATATGCATTAGTCATAGAAATATTGAAACTCCCATAAAATCTCTGCAGAGAATATAATCATAATCAACCAACCAATCAATCATTGTTGTCATCATGTGCCATCAAGTCAATTCTGAGTTATGGTGACCCTTTTCAGGCTTTTCCAGATAGAGAATACTCAAAAGTGGTTTACCATTCCCTTCTTCTGGGGGTCCCCTGGGACTGTGCAGTTTACTCAAGGCCAAACAGGCTGGCTCTACTCCCAGGAGGCACAGTGGGGAATAAAACTCCCAAACTCTGGCTCTGCAGCCAGGTACCTAAACTCTTGAGGTATCCAGTCAGCTTTGTAGAGAATACGGAAGCCACTATATAGTCAGTGATTGTTCTGTGACCTTTCTGATCACAAATCCAGGGAGTTAGGTGACAGCTATGGCAGCCCTACAGCCTGTCTGCATTCCCTAAAATGGCTTACAGTTTACAGGACTCCATATCACTAACAGAGGTCTGTAAGACAGCCTAAAATGTGCTCTGAGACAATTACAAGGAGCAAATGTAGGATCAACAAGCAAAATAGTTCCTCTAACATATTTTCTTCTCCTGTCAATCTAGGTTTGTGACCATTACACTACCACCATCATTCTGCTTGGCAGGCCACCCCTGCTTGTTAGCATCCAAGCAGGACCTGTTGCCCTTTCCTCCATCCACAGTAACTCACTTCCTCATCTACCTTGGCAGCAAGATCCACCCCACTTTTGTACCCTGAGAGAACCATCTGTGAGCAGAGAAGAAGGGCCACTGCCTCAGACATTGTAACACTCCTTGCCTGCCCTTCTAAATCAATCTTACACTGTGGATCCATTTATCTGAATCCAACCTGAGGCAGGGAATATTGCACATGGGGAAATCACTTGCATCAGGGATGGAAGAAGTCTTGAATATGACAGACATATCTACAGGGTAGTCAACCGGTAAGCCACCAAGGCTGTTGTGCTGAGAGATTTCTGTGCTAAGTTAGTTTCTGCAGTAAAGTCAAATAATACCTTCTTGATCTATGGCAGTGGTTCCCAATCTTGAGTCTCCCAGATGTTCTTGGACTACAACTCCCAGAAATCCTGGCCAGCACAGCTAGTGGTGAAGGGTTCTGGAAATTGTAGTTCAAGAACACCTGGGGACCTATGGTCAGGAACCACAGCTCTATGGCTCTTAGTTAGCCTTCCAGGTGTTGAACATGGCAGGTGTTTCATTGCATAAACTAGGACATGACACTTAAGTGAACAGCTGCTCAACTGCACATTGTGACAAGACTCTTTTGCAATCCCTTAGACAACATTCTGCAGACTGAAAATCCATGGTTTAAGAAAAATGAGTATTTACCCAGTTGCAGACAATTAATTCCAACATCACTCTGATCAACTTATCTTTGCAAACATTCAAAGGAAGCCAACATCTGCTCCTATTTACCTAGCCATATCTGTTTTAAGTTTTTTGTTGTAATATTACTCTTTTCTGTTTGATTTGACACAATTTTTTTTATCTGATACAGTGCAGAGTGAGCTTGCTCCATTTTCCTGTAATAAGGGAACAATTAATGGATTGGGACACCAGAAAAAGTCAACATATTCTCCAAGTAAGAGAATGCTTAGAAGAAGATATGGCAACCATAAAAATCTTGAATACAAGCCTAGTAATTTTGCAAACACACATTGAACAATTTTAAATAATAGTTCTATCCAATCATGTAGAAAAACACTAAACTAAACTAAAATTACAGCACAATCCTGTGCACATTTATTTAGTTGGAAGCAAGTCCCATTGTGCTCATAGATGTAACCAAAGGATTGCCACCAATCCTGTGCCCACTTACATAGAAATATAACCCCTAAAACACAATTGGGATTACTTTCAAATACCCTGGGCTAAAGTTGTGCTGTTGATTTAATTTAAGGAAATTTGTTTAAATTATGTATAGAAGTGACACAAACCTTTGAATCAAATAAGCTGCTTCAATCAAGCATCTGTCTGTATTTTCAGTGATGTGACATCAGGTGAGATCACAGAGGAAGATACGTTTAGCATGGTGATGCTGCAGAATGCTTTATCAGAATTTGCATGACAGCCTTTCATCCTTCACTATCATTAAACAACTTTCCATAAAATTTCCATTGGCATATCTAAGGCATAGCTCCCTCCTCAGAATGTGATGGATGTTGCAACAATTCTATAATGCTACTGGAATTTTCTTTCTTTATGGCTAACACAGTGTGCGATAGACGCCCAACAGACCCCACAGACTCCACAAAGCCTTCATCTGAGGAGCTAATCAAGAGTTTCCCAGCAGACGGGGTAGATTTTTCATCCCACCTGTTCTCAGCAGCTAAATCCTAGAACTCACACTTCCTATTTATTTTTCCAGCAGCCTCGCCTTCAGCAATAACAAGCTTGTGTACTTTGGATGTGGAGCATGTTTGCTCTTTGTCAGTAGGTTAAACAGACAGCTTATCCTAGACCACTGGTTCCCAAGCATCTTGGATCACAATGTCCAACTGTCCAGATGTTGTTGGACTGCAAACTCTCACATGCTCCAACCCTAATTACTTATGGCTTTGCAGAGTTTTAGTCCAACAACATCTAGGTAACTACAGTGGGACCTCGAATTACAAACGTCCCTACCTACAAACATTTTGACTTACAAACGGCTCCATTTAGAAAAATCTGTATCGACTTGCAAACAGAGCCTTGACCTTGAAAAAAGGCAGGGGAAAAGGGCGGGAAATTCAAATTTTCCCTGCCTTTTTTTCATTCCATTCAAACCGTTGGTGGCGAAGAGGCTGCTCTTTGCCCCAATGGTTAGGAAAAGGAATCCCCAGAAGGTCTCCGATGGTGGCGGGGAAAACCCTGGGAACCCTATAGGCCCAGTCTACTGAGGGCTTCCCCCAGTAGGCCTGGTCTAGCCCCCCCCAGAAAGCCTGAAGGCGGCAATCACCATGGCGGGGGGGAGCACTGGTAGACCT